GAGAGAGAGAGAGTAGGGCATGGCTGGGGGAGGATAAGGGAATTGGAGGACAAGGAAGGGAATTGAGTAGTGTGGCGTGGATGGGGATTCGGAAGTGGGGTACGGAGATGGTTGGGTGGGGGCAGAAAATGGGGTTCAAGTGGGCAAAGGGAGGGGTTGGAGACTGGGGCAAGGAGGAGGTTATGGAGTGGAGTAAGAAACGGGTTAAGAGAATGTGGCAGGGAGGCGGGGGGGACTGTGGCAGGTAAGGGGAGGGTTGGGGAGTCTAACAGGGAGGCGGGGGGTTGGGGGACTGTGGCAGGGAAGAGGGAGGGTTGGGGAGTGTAACAGGGAGGCGGGGGGGTGGACTACTGGGCGGTCAAGGGAGGGTTCGGGAAGTCGCTAACAGGGAGGCGGGGGGTTGGGGACTGTGGCAGGTAAGTGGAGGGTTGGGCGCGTCCTAACAGGGAGGCGGGGGGGGGGGGGGCTGTGACTAGTAAGGGGAGGTGGGGAGTCTAACAGGGAGTGCGACGCGTGCCCGCAGTAAGGGTTGGAGAGTCTAACAGGAGGCGGGGGGTGTGGGGATGTGGCAGGTAAGGGAGGGTCGGGGAGCTAACAGGGAGGCGCGGGGGGATTGCTGGCAGTAAAGGGGAGAAGTTGGGGAGTGTCAACAGGGAGCGCAGGGGGGGGGGGAACTGTGCAGGTAAGGGAGGGTCGGGGAGTGCTAACAGGGAAGGCGGGGACAATGTTGGCAGGTAAGGGAGGGTCGGGGAGTCTAACAGGCGAGGCGCGGGACGTGGCAGGTAGGAGGTCGGGGAGTCTGAAACAGGGAGGTGGGGGGGGCACTGTGGGAAGGGACAGAGAGGGGTTGGGGAGTGAACAGGAGGCCGGGGGGGGGAGTGTGGAAGGGAAGAGGGAGGGTTGGGGAGTGTAACAGGGAGGCGGGGGTTGGGGGAGTGTGGAAGGGAAGAGGGAGGGTTGGGGAGTGTAAACAGGAGGGTGCGGGGGGTTATGGGGGAGTGTAGAAGGGAAGAAGGAGGGTATGGGGAGTTCCGCGCG